ACTTCGAAAGATGAAGACTGGATGCGGAGCCCTGGTGGAGGAAGGGAGCCAGCCGGGAAGACAGGAGCCAATCAGAGTACAGAGTGCTCCTGGAGCCGCTCAGAGGACAGGGCTCCACAGTAGGAGGGGGAGCGGCTTGTCTTTGCCAAAGGTCAAGGAAGCCTCTAGTGCTCTCAGAACTGGGCTGGGAGCACAGAAGCCCTGTAAATGACGGCGCATTCATACGTATTGCCCTGGGCTTTGCTCCTCTCCCAGAAGTGCACCTTCTCTAGCCTTCCTGGCCAAATCCCCCCAGAGGCCCCATCAGCAGGTCTGCAGCAGCTGGCCATCCTTGGGCCTTGGAGCAAGGGGGCCCAGGTTCTCTGCCTACCGTCAGTGGCCACCCACCCTGCACAACTGACGAATGATGGGACGCCAGCATTGCCTTGGAGCTGTGGAGATGAAAGTAGCCACAGGGCCGACAAGTGGGGTGGGCAGGCAGGGGCAGGCTCAGCACTGAGGTAGCCTCTCCCTCACACCTCCAGGGTCCGAACTCACCTGTCCTGCAGCTTCCGCAGATAGGAGCGTAAGGCTCACGGGGAGGGAAAGCAGCCCCTCTCCTGTAGTAAGTGGAGCCCTGAGGAAGGCTGAACGCCATACTGGAGTTCTCAGGGCCCTTCACACAGGGGTAACCACAGGCCCTGGGCTTCCAGCACAGCCTGCCCAGGACCTGCCGCAGCTGCTGCTTGGGCCAGGCTGGGCCTCCCAGGAGAGGTGGGGTTCTGGCTGGTGGGGCTTGGGCCATGCCCAGGGAGCAGCTGGGAGGCTCCAGAAACCAAGGTGTGGCTGACTTGATTCAGGATGTGCTACCCACATCCATTAACCTTTTCTGGCCCCAGGTTAGCTTTACCCTCCTCTGCCCTCCCTCGTCCCTACTCTGATAAAAGGATATGAAGTTTGGGGGCCTTATGACTGGACAAAGGGTGAAAGGGTAACAGCAGCTGCAGCTAAGGGAGGCAGCTGTGATGAAGTTTGCAGAGTGTGGAGTCTGCTGGGCTCTTCTGAGCCATTCACTTTTCTTCTTGGAGTCTTAATTTCCTCATTTACAAAATGGAATTTGGGGCATTTCAAGGCCAGCACATTTTAGAGGACTGTCATGAATAAACGGGGGAATGAATGAACTTTCTAAACCCTCAAGATGAAGTAAATGTTGGTGGTCATACCATCAGTTTTCACCATTAAGTCCATGGAGCCCAATTTGGGGGGAATCTGTGGAGTGCCAAAATAATGTGGGAAAATGCATGTGGGGTATTATTCTGGGGTGAGGACCCACAGCTCTCATCAGCTGCTTCAAGAGGTCTGGGACCCAGCAAAGTTTAAGACCACACATAGTACAAGTCCATCCCCATCGCTTTTTAGAGGAGTTGTAGTAGTGAGACCCACATATTGTCAGAGACAAAGCTAGCCATGGAGCCCTGATCCCCCAGCCCTCTACTACTCCCAATGTTCTCCCATGTCGGGTGAGGGCAAAGGAGAGTTAGGAGGGGCCAGGGAACTGTAAGTGACAGGAGAACGAGGAAGCCCCAGGATGGGAGATGCCCGGGAGGCCCTTCCTGGAAGCACAAGTTGCTGACTGAGTCACCTTCCCTCTCTCCCTTTCCCAACAAGGCCCCACGAAAGACTTAGGGGAGGAACTGAAATCTCTGGCGCTGTCTTGTGAGGACTTCTCTAGTTGTTTCCTCTTTGAGAAAAGTTGAAGATGCCATGTCAAAGCTTCATTGAAAACTGTGAAACGCCCCACACAAATGCAGTCATCACCCCAAAATGCAATTTATTGAGCAATGACAGAGTGCTGGACATGGAGGGGAATGCTCTGCCTAAATCAGTATAAACGCCATCACTTCCAGGCCTTCTTTGACCACCAGGTTAAAGTAAATCCACTCTTCTCACCCAGCCTCCAGTTTTTCTCACACTCGCCATTCTGTTCCTTGCTAACATCTATTATAATACATGATATTTCTGTGTGCTCTTTTTATTCTTTTTTCTCCACTAGACATGGGCAATTGTGTCCGTTGATTGTTGTACAGCCATGCTAAGCACAGGGACTGTGATCTAGTAGTCACTTAAAATACTTGTTGAATGTGTGACTGTCTTTAATCTTCACAACAGCATTATGGGCTCCTTGTATGGAAGAAACTGAGGTTCCAAGAGTCAGAAAGACTTGCTTAAGGACACTTTGTTAACACCAGACTTCAGCTCTGCTCCTGCCCCTTGAAAGCTCTGGGGAACAAGAGAACCTAAGGGTCAGAAGAGAAAGTTTGGGCCCAGCAAAATGGCTCCCAGTTCGGCTCCCACCCTGTGCTCTGCCTTCCCCAACTGCACTCTCCCAACCTCGCATCACACCCCGGTGACTTCGAGTCATCAGTCCACAGCCACAGAGCTGGAGGCCAGCCCAAACTGACTGGTTTATTTCCTAAGCTGAGGGAAAGCCAGTCCTTCCCTGCCTACGCCAGAGCAATATACAGCAGGGAGTCCACATCCGACCCCTCAAGCCTCAACACAGCAGATAAAGTAGTGAACTCTTCTATAAAACAGTGTACAGGAAAATACATACACACAGAGAGAGCCAGGGCTGGTGCTGGGGGAGAGGCCTGCCTCAAACGCAGGTAACCGGAGCCTGCCGCATCAGGGGACCTACCCACTCCTGGACTCTTCCCCTGAAGTGCTTCACCTGCTGCCCCCACAGCCTGGGGCTTTGGCTGGTTACCTCAAATCCTAAAGGCCCAGCATCTTGCCCTCAAAGGCAGCTTCTTCCTGGCTGACTCTATAGGCCTGCTCCTGAGATGGGCCACTCCCTGTCCTTCCTCCTTACCGAGGCAGCCTGCCTTGGCCTGGTCCCGGAATTCAGCCCACCAAAACCTGAAGGATGGGCAGACAGACCAAGGAATATTGTTTTCTGATATCTGTGGCAACCATACATCATCCAAACCAGGACTTTTTTTTAACATGAAAGGGGGTCTGATTCACTGGAAAACAGGCATAAACCTGGAACATCAGGCAAAGCATGAATGGTCACCCTACCGATAAGTGTCCCTTGCTCTGAGCTGCTGCTCTTGACTTTCCAAAACATGTTCCCTGTTGGTAGCAAACATCTCTCAGACCTCTATCCCCATCTCAGCTGCCTCCCACTCTCCTAGGCCTTCCAACACCTCGGCTACATATTTTAAAACCTCAATAGTATTGGGGTAGTTAGCAGGGTTGGGAGGGGAGGGTTGGGAATGATGACCCCTCCAAACTCAAATGGGACCTGGCTATGTACGGACCTTGGTGTCAAGTCCCAGGCCTTCTGGCTCCTTGGGTCCAATCCCCCAAATCATGGCTGCCTGGGTCTGAGTAGAAAAGCAAGCCTTAGTCTTCTGTCTCCTGGCCCAAACTTGACAAGACTTTTCTCTTTAGGCTTCCCTGTAGCTAATGGCCAGAGCCAGGGAGAAATGAACCATCAGTTCCCCCACCCCCACCCTTGGCCCATGCGAACTTCTCTAAATGTTCTGTGTGCATATTCCTGGTTCCACCTCCTGTGGCATTTATGCTAGGAACCCCAGGATCATCTCTTGGAGTGGCAACTGGTGGAGGCTAAAGAATCAACCTGTAGTACCCTGTACCCCTACCCAGATGGGGCTGGGCCTCAGCTCTTTGTGAATGCCTGGCAGGGAGTGCAGCCTTGCTGATAGGTTCCCATTCAGAGTTGGTGCCCCACCCCTTACTTGCTTGTGAAACTTCTTTAAATAAGTCTTGAGAGAGCAGACACTCAGGCTGCAGGCCTTGGAGGTTCCTCCTGTCTTCCCTCCTTCCCTCCCACCCCAGTCAGCAGTCCACAGCCTTGCCAGTGCTTTGGGAGACAGAAGCCCACTCTTCCTGCAGTTTCTCACTCATTGTCCATCTGTCTGTGTTCGAGGAACAGAATCCTCCATGTTTGAGTCAGGCTGCCTCTAATGTGGGCAAAGGAGAGTTAGGAGGGGCCAGGGAACTGTAAGTGACAGGAGAACGAGGAAGCCCCAGGATGGGAGATGCCCGGGAGGCCCTTCCTGGAAGCACAAGTTGCTGACTGAGTCACCTTCCCTCTCTCCCTTTCCCAACAAGGCCCCACGAAAGACTTAGGGGAGGAACTGAACTCTCTGGCGCTGTCTTGTGAGGACTTCTCTAGTTGTTTCCTCTTTGAGAAAAGTTGAAGATGCCATGTCAAAGCTTCATTGAAAACTGTGAAACGCCCCACACAAATGCAGTCATCACCCCAAAATGCAATTTATTGAGCAATGACAGAGTGCTGGACATGGAGGGGAATGCTCTGCCTAAATCAGTATAAACGCCATCACTTCCAGGCCTTCTTTGACCACCAGGTTAAAGTAAATCCACTCTTCTCACCCAGCCTCCAGTTTTTCTCACACTCGCCATTCTGTTCCTTGCTAACATCTATTATAATACATGATATTTCTGTGTGCTCTTTTTATTCTTTTTTCTCCACTAGACATGGGCAATTGTGTCCGTTGATTGTTGTACAGCCATGCTAAGCACAGGGACTGTGATCTAGTAGTCACTTAAAATACTTGTTGAATGTGTGACTGTCTTTAATCTTCACAACAGCATTATGGGCTCCTTGTATGGAAGAAACTGAGGTTCCAAGAGTCAGAAAGACTTGCTTAAGGACACTTTGTTAACACCAGACTTCAGCTCTGCTCCTGCCCCTTGAAAGCTCTGGGGAACAAGAGAACCTAAGGGTCAGAAGAGAAAGTTTGGGCCCAGCAAAATGGCTCCCAGTTCGGCTCCCACCCTGTGCTCTGCCTTCCCCAACTGCACTCTCCCAACCTCGCATCACACCCCGGTGACTTCGAGTCATCAGTCCACAGCCACAGAGCTGGAGGCCAGCCCAAACTGACTGGTTTATTTCCTAAGCTGAGGGAAAGCCAGTCCTTCCCTGCCTACGCCAGAGCAATATACAGCAGGGAGTCCACATCCCACCCCTCAAGCCTCAACACAGCAGATAAAGTAGTGAACTCTTCTATAAAACAGTGTACAGGAAAATACATACACACAGAGAGAGCCAGGGCTGGTGCTGGGGGAGAGGCCTGCCTCAAACGCAGGTAACCGGAGCCTGCCGCATCAGGGGACCTACCCACTCCTGGACTCTTCCCCTGAAGTGCTTCACCTGCTGCCCCCACAGCCTGGGGCTTTGGCTGGTTACCTCAAATCCTAAAGGCCCAGCATCTTGCCCTCAAAGGCAGCTTCTTCCTGGCTGACTCTATAGGCCTGCTCCTGAGATGGGCCACTCCCTGTCCTTCCTCCTTACCGAGGCAGCCTGCCTTGGCCTGGTCCCGGAATTCAGCCCACCAAAACCTGAAGGATGGGCAGACAGACCAAGGAATATTGTTTTCTGATATCTGTGGCAACCATACATCATCCAAACCAGGACTTTTTTTTAACATGAAAGGGGGTCTGATTCACTGGAAAACAGGCATAAACCTGGAACACCAGGCAAAGCATGAATGGTCACCCTACCGATAAGTGTCCCTTGCTCTGAGCTGCTGCTCTTGACTTTCCAAAACATGTTCCCTGTTGGCAGCAAACATCTCTCAGACCTCTATCCCCATCTCAGCTGCCTCCCACTCTCCTAGGCCTTCCAACACCTCGGCTACATATTTTAAAACCTCAATAGTATTGGGGTAGTTAGCAGGGTTGGGAGGGGAGGGTTGGGAATGATGACCCCTCCAAACTCAAATGGGACCTGGCTATGTACGGACCTTGGTGTCAAGTCCCAGGCCTTCTGGCTCCTTGGGTCCAATCCCCCAAATCATGGCTGCCTGGGTCTGAGTAGAAAAGCAAGCCTTAGTCTTCTGTCTCCTGGCCCAAACTTGACAAGACTTTTCTCTTTAGGCTTCCCTGTAGCTAATGGCCAGAGCCAGGGAGAAATGAACCATCAGTTCCCCCACCCCCACCCTTGGCCCATGCGAACTTCTCTAAATGTTCTGTGTGCATATTCCTGGTTCCACCTCCTGTGGCATTTATGCTAGGAACCCCAGGATCATCTCTTGGAGTGGCAACTGGTGGAGGCTAAAGAATCAACCTGTAGTACCCTGTACCCCTACCCAGATGGGGCTGGGCCTCAGCTCTTTGTGAATGCCTGGCAGGGAGTGCAGCCTTGCTGATAGGTTCCCATTCAGAGTTGGTGCCCCACCCCTTACTTGCTTGTGAAACTTCTTTAAATAAGTCTTGAGAGAGCAGACACTCAGGCTGCAGGCCTTGGAGGTTCCTCCTGTCTTCCCTCCTTCCCTCCCACCCCAGTCAGCAGTCCACAGCCTTGCCAGTGCTTTGGGAGACAGAAGCCCACTCTTCCTGCAGTTTCTCACTCATTGTCCATCTGTCTGTGTTCGAGGAACAGAATCCTCCATGTTTGAGTCAGGCTGCCTCTAATGTCTGCTGCGTCCCCCCTACCCCTACAAAAACAAATGCCCAGATCTGATCCCTTGGAGTAGAGCTGAGAGCAACGTGGGCTCAGGACAGGGCCTTCCAATGGGCCCCTGAGTAGGTGTAGGAGATGGGATGGCGGGTCCCAGGCCTCACAGTGAACGTGTTGATGGGGCTTCCATAGTGGGAGGCATTGTGGGGAGACCTGGGAACAGGAAGGAGAGACGTGAGGTTAATATCTGCAGCTGGTTAACCAGTAAGCTCTCCCATCTCCCCCAAGGCACAAGAGGAAGATGTGGCTCAGGGCTATGGTATCTGCCACACAAGTCCTGGTGCACAGGGTGGGACCCCAGTCTACCAGTATTGCATCACCAGACACAGGGCTCCCCAATCTGTCAAGGGCCCGCTGGTCAGAGTACATGCCTAATACCCTTCTACTCAGAGCTCTTCACTCCTTGCCTGGGTCTGGATCCTCCTCTGTGTTGTTGAGAAATCCCTGAATCCAAGGATGACCCAGATCCCTCCATCCCCTCCCACCCCACCACCACACACACTTAGCCTGAAGCCCTGGGCCTCCAGTGGGTAGGAGAGAGAGAGAAGAGGGGGGCTGCTGGGGAAAAAAAACAAGCGGGAGAATGGGAGATAAGGAAGGGGGTAAGGGGGCTGCCAACAGCGCCCTCTCCACATAAGGTGAGCCTCTCTCCCATGTCTCTCCGCTCTGAGAACCAGAGGGGAGAAAATCAAACGTCCCCTGGCATGTGGCCGTGGCCTGTCTGGTCAGCTCCTGCGTGCTCCGAGGGAAGAGGCTGCACTTCCCCTGGCTTCCCGCCCCGGGTCCCTCCATCAGCCCATCCCGGGGCTCACCTGCCGGCTGGCTGGACGCAGCCGCAGTCGCCGCCCGGCGCTTTGTACTTGGCCTCCCCGCGGCCGGCGCTCTCCACGGACGGCATCCGCGCGTGCAGGCCGCCGGGGGGCGGGCGGCCTGCCGAGTTGACACGCCGCATCTCCGGGCCCCCTGACGCTGCGAAGGGCCCCCCGGGGAGCGGCCCGAGGCAGTTAGGGGAGCTCAGGCTGCGGCCGGGGCTGCCGCGGGGCAGCCCGGGGCTGCGGTGGGGCTCCCCCACGTACAGGCGCTTCTTGATGAGCGAACGGCCGCCGCCCAGGGGGCGCTCCAGGCCCCCGGCCCCGGCATAGCGCGCACCTGCCGTGCCACGAGGCGCCGAGGCCGTGGAGCCCGCGGCCGGGAGCTGCCCCAAGTCTGGGAAGTTGTTACGGGGAGGGGATCCCCGGCGCCCCAGATACTGGAGCGCCGGGGCCGGGGGCTCGGGGTCGTTGCTGAACTCCGGCGGCGGTGGGATGAGCTCAAAGCTGAACTTCTCTTCCTCCTCCTCCCGCTTGTAGGAAGGAGGGGGTGACGAGGGCGACCTGGGCAGCAGGCGGCCCTGGGGCGGGTTGGAAGACGCTGGTTGTTCCCGGGCCACAGGGACCGGAGGCTCCACCTTTGTCCAGCTATCCCTGCGGCCTGGTGCTGTGCCCTCCGGGTCTCTGTGGGGCTGGGGCTTCCACTGACCGGGTACAGTGGGCTGTGCTACTGAAGCCAGCTGGGTGTCCTCAGTCTCCCTGGGTAACTTGGGGACCACAGTGAAGGAGTTGGGTCGGCCCTCGTTGTAGAAGATGCTGTCAGAGCCTGCCTCTGGCCGGCTGCTGTGCCCACGGAGACTCCCTGGCAGGGAGGACCGGCCCAGGGCAGTGCCTCCGGGCCTCCCCCTTTGTGCCCTTTGCCTGGCTGCAAGGAGCAGGGCCATCGGGGAGCCTGGTTCCACCACCTCCCCGGTTACCGGATGTCTGAGCAGTTTGTCAGCAGTCTGGGCTGAGGCTGGAGGTTTGGCTGGCAGCCCCTGGGGCTCCTTTGCCTTCACAGGCTCTCCTGACCCTGCAGCCTCTTCTCTGGTGAACCTTGGCATCACCATAGCAACCTCTGGGCTGGGGTTGTTCTGGCTGTGATGGGGCTTGTAGAGAAATGTCCTGTCTTCTCCACGGGGGGTTATCTTTGCTGGGAGTGCTGGAGACAAGAGGGCTCCTTGTGTAGGAGGCTGACTGGCCTCTGTGGGGCGCTCTTCTGCCATTGGCTGGGAGGGCACTGCAAGTTCTTGAGGTTCTGGCTTCTCCCACTGCCCAGCTGAGAGCAGGTTCTTCTCTGCTGTCACCTGGGATGATGTGGTGGGCACCGTGGCTGTGGGTGACATGGCAGGCCCAGCCACCACCTTGGGCGGTGTGGCTATCCCAGGCGCCACTTTGGGGGGTGTGGCTGTCCCAGGCTCTGCCTTGGGGGGTGTCGCTGGCCCTGGAGTGGCCTTGGATGTTGTGGTTGGCATGGGGCTGGCAGACAGAGGTGGCACATTCTTGGCCATTGGCTTCGAGAATTTGCCATTCTCAGCCCTGTTTTCAAAAACTCTTCCCCCTTGTAGCCGAGGTTTGGGAGGCAGAGACCCTATGCTTGGTTTGGCTTCCTTCTCTGCTGATGAGGAAAGGCGGGCCTCCAGCTCACTCCGGATCTGCCAGACACTGGGAGCTGGGGGGTCTTGGGGATGGTAGTCCACAGGGGGTAGGGTCAGGCCAGTAGTGGCCTCCTTCTCTGGCAGGCTGCAGGGACTCTTCTCAGGAACACTTAGGGGGACCTCCTTCCCTGGCAGGCTTGGGAGAGCCTCCTTTTCCGGAGGGCTGGGGCCCTTGTCCTCCTTCCCCTGAGAGGCGGTCCTCAGTCCTGGCCTGTGACTGGAGACTCGGTCCTCCCTCCTGGAGCCACACAGATAGGCTGCCAGCTCGCTCCGAAGCTTTTCCATCTGGCTGGGATCCCGCCAGTCCACAGGCTCGCAAGAGGCCGTGTCCTCTGGGCTTGGGGGGTTGGGTTTGGGTTTGGGTTTGGGAGCAGGAAGGCTGATTTGGGGGCTTTTTGTAAATCTAGCAGGTGGAGAGGAGGCTGCCTTCTCAGCAGAAGGCAAAGGAGGGGCAGCTGTGGGGAGAGGGGGTGCTTGTGGAGGGAGTGGGGGTGCAGGAGGGGGCAGAGGAGGGGCTGGGGGCAGAGTCTCAGCGTGTTTGTTTGTCCAGGACGGGGACTGGTCTCCCCTTGGGATGGCTGGTGTTGCAGCCTTGGGCTCCCTGGGGCGCTCTGGCTCAGGGGCCCCATCCGGGTAGATTTGGGACACAGGGTGGATGTGGAAGCTGGGAGGTAGTGGGAGTCGACTGGGGGCTGTTTTGATGGCCTCTTCTTCCTCTGGAGGACCCCCCTCTGCTTCCTGAGCTGGGATGGATGATGTCCTGAGTGGGGTTGGGGGAGGCACCTTGAATGAGCGGGGGAAGGTGAGGTGGGTCTCCGGCTTATGTCTCAGGGGGCTCCCCTTTGGCTCAGCAGGGCTCTGGGGAGGGCTGGTCCCGGGGGCCTCTGGCTGCCTGCCGTTCAGGGCTGCCTCCGATTTCCACTTGGTGACACCCCCAGAGGGAAAGAGGCGAGTCCCCAGTGTGTGAGGATATACTGGAGCTGGGGGTGCTGGGGCTGGCAGAGGGGGTGGAGGTAGGGCCAGAAAGGCCAAGGGTGGGGCAGGGGGAATGAAATCAGGAGGGGTGGGTGTGGAGGGGGGGGACAGGGCCCCCAATACTGGTGGTGGGGTTGGGACCATGTTGGGCAGGGGTGGGGGTTCCAGCAGCAGGGGAGGTGGGGGGGGAGCCATGGAAGGTGGAGGTGGTGGTGGGGACTCCCCTTGAGGTTGCAAAATGTCTGGCGGTGGCCTTGGGGCTGGGCCTGGGGGAGGTGGCGGGATAAGTGGGTCCTGTCCATAGTGCCCAGGCCTTAGGTCCCCCACAGAGCTATATAATCGGAGGTTGCCGTTGACCAGTGAGCTGGTGCCTGAAAGAAGGGAGAGGGAAGATGAGGGGGTAACGAGGCAGACCGGCCTTACCAGTCTGTGTGCGCCCGAGAGAGGAAATGGCCAGTTTCATGCCTTTCCTCCTGAACACCTAGTAAGGGAGCAGCCATGTTCCCAGTCCCCTGAGTTGTCCTGGGAGGGACCCTCTCCTTCCTGAGAAGGGGCCCTGGCCTTCCCCAGCACAGTCTCTAGGGCCTATAATGAATGTCTCCACTTGCTCCAGAGAGCTCTCTGCCCTGCTCTGTGCTGGGACCCACCTCCCTCTGGCTACAGGTGGGTTCAGCCAGCAGGAACCACTGGCAGGAGATCATCAGGTGGGGGCAGAGGCCAGGGCATCGAGTCCCCGCTCCCTCTAAGCTTCTGCCGGCTAGCCCAGGAAGAGTCGCAGTTCCCACTGACACGGCACTGGGGTGACACTGTTCACTTTGGTTCCGCTCTTGTGTATGGCCCCTTTACCAAACTTTCTTTAGTTATCCCCTCTGAGTGTGCCATCTGTTCCTTACAGGGGGCTTGATGGGTACGAAGCCAGAAAGACCAGGGTTCAAATCCCAGCTCCACCACTTAGTAGATGTGTGATCTTGGACACCCTAATTAACCTTGCTGAGCCTGTTTTATCATCCATAAAATTGTCATAATGTCAGTGCTTACTTACCTCATAAAGCTGTTATGAGGATTAAATAAGAGAATTCATGTAAATACATGTAAAGGGCTTATCAGGATGCTAGGCACTTAGTGAATGGTAACCACTCTGATTACTACAACCTGTGCTTAACTTTTCTGACTAGGTAAGACAGGGATAGTGGGAAAGAGACAGAAGTCATGCATCAGGGGCAGGGGCCTAGAGACCTTCTCAGTGAGGAATTTGGGTGGAAGACCTGTGAGGGGGTGCAGTTTGTAAGAGCAACTCCTGCTTTATAAAAACCCTGGCTCTACCAAGAACCCAGCTTTCCACCTTGCAGAGAACTTCTGGAACAGATTCCAGCCTGCTGGCTGGAATGGCAGTACATGGAAAGATGACCTGGACAACCGGGCACTAGAGAAATGCTGAGCAACCCTGGCCCCAGCAGCTCACATTCCTCCCTTCTTGGATCCGGTCCCCAGCCACCCTCCATAGAGTCTGCAGACCACCAGGATGTCCTGCTTACTTCTGTCTTAGGGGACTCTGTCCTTCACCTCCTCCTTTGCTTCTAGCACAGAGTATAACAAACCTGGGGATTGTGAAGCTCTGAAGAGCTCCTTCCAGCTGTCTGAATTCAAAACAGCTTCCAGCTGTTGAATGCAATCCCATTGGGGATGGGAGGGACTAATATTCATTGAGCACCCAAGTGTTTATTAGGAGCTGGGATACAGCAGTAAAAAACAAAACAAAAAATAGTCCAAACACTGGCTCTCCTAGAGCTTATGTTTCAATGAGACAACAAGGCAGACAGTGAACATAATGCCTAAGTAGATTATTGCCACATTAGATGATGAATAATGTGGGGGAAAACCCAGGAGGGGTGCTGGGAGTACAATTTGAATAGGGTGGTCAGAGACAACCTCACTGAGAAGGTGACATCCAAGCAACGAGGGAAAAGGGAAGGAGAGAGCTGTACATATGCTGAGGGGAAGAGTGGTCTAGGCAGGGGCACTGCAGTGCAAAGGCCCCAGGGTAGAAACATGCCTGAGTATTAAACGAGCAGCAAGGAGACTGGGATGGCTGGAGCTGTGTGAGATGAGGAAAGAGCAGATGAGGCCAGGTGATGCCAGCCTCTGGCAGTCCTGGCAAGAATCTTTTCTTTGAGTGACATGAAGTCACTGGTGGGTTTTGAGCAGAGGTGTGACAAGAAGTGACTTTTGTTCCATCCAGTATTTCATTTACTCCCCCAGAACTGGAATTGCCTTTCCTACTGCTCATTTGAAGATCAGAGGTGCAAGGGGTCAAGTGACTTGCCCAGAGGTGGGATCTGAAGCCAGGTCTGTCTAACTCCAGGGTTCTTTCTACCACTTCATGCTGCCCTTGTTCCTGCTCTGACCTTGACCCCTCACTAGCCCTCCCCGACTAGAAGCAGGCTTTAGCCAACCTGGCTCTCCTCAACTCCCACCCACTGCAGCCAGTGACCAAAGGCCTGAGGACTCTAAGAGGTGGGCTGGATGCTTGGGCCTAAGTAGGAAAGAAAGATGGACAGCCCAAAGCCCAAGGCCCTCTTACCTGTCACTTTGTCTGCAAAGTCTTCTGGGACAGAAGGGGTGGGCACAGCAAGTCCATGGTTCTCCTGGGCATTCTGAAAGAGAGCAGAGACACCAGGGAATGGGGAAAGACAGATAATTCTTGCTTTGTGAGGCCATTTTACTGCTTGAAAATGCAGTGATGGTGACAGTGGCACAACCTTGGGAATACACTAAAATATAGAAGGGCTAATTTAAAAGGGTAGGTTTTAGGATACAGTTGAGACTTTTTATTCAAAGTAGTTATGGTCTATAAAGTTGCTGAGAACACTGAATTAGCCAATACTTAGTCCATGCCCTGAGGGAAATAGAGAACTATGTTCCTGCAAACCTGGCCTACCGTATTTTCACCAACTGCTTTATGTATGTTTCTGTTTAAAAACACCTTATTTAATATGTATTGTTGACTCACTAACATTGAACTCATGGCCAACAGCACTGTAACTCAAGCCTGAACAAAACCTATCTAACACAGGCATTTTCTCACCGAGGCACATCACGGCCTTCTTACGCTTAAGAGCGCTATGCTCGGGGGCCATTTTAAAACAGCAAAATTACCAATAAAAAGCAAAGAAATAAGAAACATGTGACATTAAACAGAAAATAACATTTATTTACACTATGAAGGCTGAAACAAGAGGCAAAATGTCTCTTGTTCCACCTTAGTGGGGATCATATGCATCAGGCAACTGAAATTTTTCACCACTCTGCACATGTCTGTAAAGTGTCTAGTGTAGTGCTTTGGGGGTTATGAATACATTTTCACGAGTATGCAAATCTGCAAGTACAAAATCCACAAATAATGACAATTGGCTGCATGTGAATCATATCTCCATCAAAACAAAACAGAACACACAAAATATGCTGTGACTCCCCATGGATGTCCACAAGTTAAAAGCCAAACCCCTCAGCCTGGCCTCCTCACTCCTGGTTTTCACTGGGTATTTCCAGAAAAATAAATAAATAAAAAGCAGTGAAGTAGAATATTTACAGCACTTCAGATGCCCTTCTGATCTCTAAGCTTAACAGGCCATAATGTGTTTACATGGCTGTCAGTTTGTACACACTGTTTTGCATTCTATTTTATTTTCCTGAACACACATTTCCACATGTCAATAAAGTCCACACACCTGTGCTTTGAAGAGCTGTAGAGCATTTCACGGTAGCTTTCAAGGTCCTCAACAACCTGGACTCGTACTTCTCAGCCAACTTTTATTTCCCACTCACCTGGTATGCCCATCCCACATTCTTTCTTTCCCCCACCTTTCTACCCATACACAGAGTTCACGTTCATCCCTGATGCTGGGTTTTGTTCACATGCCCCTCTTTCCACCCTCCATTTCTGACAGTAATAACCCTTACTCTATGCTCTAAACACATCCTCTCAGTCACGCCACTCTCTGAGAAAGATGCTTTCCCCATTTACCAGATGAGGACACTGAGGCTCAGAAACCTGTGGTAAGTTGTCTATAGGCACACAGTCAGGACTACCACACCCAGGTCTGCTGAGGTCCCTCCCCTTGGTATTTTGCCTCTAAAATCTCTTCAAGGATTAGTGGAGCCGGGATAGTAGAGGAGAAGAGGCTAAGACCATCAGTGTTGGAACCAGACTGCCCGGATTGGCATTCCAGATCTACTACCTACCAGCTGTCCGATGACTGTGCCAGTTGCTTAAGCGCTCTGTGCCTCAGTTTCCCTGTCTATGAAATGGTGATATAAACAGAATTTACCTATTCCAGGGAACTTGTGAGGAATAAATAATAAAATACACAAAAAGCACTTAACTTAACATGTAGTGAGACTCCAGTACATGTTGGCTGCTTTTATTACCCAGGAGCCCACCCTGAAGCGATGCCCTTCCGAACAACCCCCAGCCAAGCCCCACAAAGTAGGACTCAGGTTTGCTCTCTAGATATTCCCCAACTTCCACCAATGAGATGTGGTTGCCCCTCAGAGCCCAGGGGCCATATCCTATGTGAATATGAAGTTGGACACATGGTAAGCCAAGTAGTTAGTTGTTGATGGGTTGATGGCGCTAACTATCTGGGCTGAGTGGCCTAATGTCTTAATAAAAGAAGGGGGATTCAATGCAGATGCTTCAGAAGCATCCATGAAACTGGGTTACCACAGGCAATCTCAGAATTACTCTTTGGGCATTTGGCAGTAACAAACAACTCATTCTGTTTTTAAAGAATTCTGAGGTCTGAATGGCCTTGAGCCACTGTCTTCCTCTGCTTCTACTTGATTCACTTGGCTACCACACAGCTGTTTGTCACATCTCTCAGACTCAGTGATTCTGAGCCGGGGGCAGGGCCAGGGCCAGGGCCAGTCTATCTGAGGAGTGTCTCCCAGGACACTCTGAGATGCGGCATGTGCATGGGCTCGTACACACACATACACACGCGCACACACCACTGACTGTCTGATAACTTCCATCGGGTATGTACACTGATTTTTGAGGAGATGGAGGCCAGGCCTTCAAAAGCCAGGGTTGAGACCTCTGATGACTCTTTTGAACATAATTGGAAGGTAGAAAGACTTTGCGATTTAGCATCAAAAGTTCTGGATTCCATTCATGCTCTGAATTTCGCCAAGGGAGTGACCCTGGATGAGCAGTGGTGATGGTGATGTTAAATCGCCATTTATGCACCTACTGTATACCAGCACTTAACTAAGAGCTTTACCTATGTTATCTCAGATTCCTTAATAGAGCCAGGATGCAAACCTAGGCCCCTGACTTATCTTTTCTACACAGCACTGAGACCCATTTTCTTCATTTATACAATGGAGAGAATATTTCTTACAGCAGGGCCATTATGAGGATGAAGTAAGGTAATATGCCTAACTCAGAAAACCAGCGCTAGTTGAAGGATTCTGCCTTCCAATCCTCTCCTCCACAAAGATGAAAAATCTGTGAATAATTAAAGCTAAGTTGCTGGGCATCCTAGAAGCATTTGCTGGGTCACTGTGAGTACTTAAGAATAATTATGTTTGGAGGAGGAAGATGGACAGACTTTATGGGCCAGAGGTAATACAAGGCCCACCCCACCCTTTTGATCTTGAAGAACTCTGGAAACACATAGATCCCAAGACCATAGGATGGAAATCTGTCCCCTGAGTGGCCTTGGAGCAGCAGACCAGGCAGAATTCAGGCTTTTCAAGTTCTCCCTACAGAAAAGGGGGTCCCAGGCACACCCACCACCTCACCATGTGCCTGAGATGGCTCTCCACTGCCCGCCACCCTAGGGATAGGTCCCAAAGTCCAGTATTGAACTGAACATGGGCGCACATCCCAGAGCCCTGCTCCGTCCTGCTCACACCCACGTGGCTCCATGGCTCATGCAGCTGTCACTCCCGTGGTGCAGATCCAGGAAAGGCAAACACAAACTCCTTTTGACATTCGTCCTAGAAAAACAGACCTGGAAGGTGAGCTACCCTCCATCACTATGGAAACCCAACAGCTGGCACAGAGGGCACTGCTGGATAGTGACGTATTTCAGTGAGCAGGTGCACAGGTATAGACAGGGAACATCCCATCGGTGCTGAATTTCCTGCCCTGCTTCCCTGAGCCTCAGGGAACTGAGGAAAAGCCTCCTTAAGAGGACTTGATGGTGACTCAGAAATGTAATGCGTGATCCTGGGATGGGGGGAAGAGTGTGCCATGAAGGACATTAGCAGGACATCTGCCAATAATCAAATATAAGCAGTTCAATAGATAATAATATGGTAGCAACATTAAATTTCTGAATTTGGTTATTGTGCAGTTTCTGTTCTTAGGTGACACGCTGGAGTGTTTAGGAGTAAAGGAACAGATGTCTCAACTTATTTGCAAACAAGATAAGGGAGGGAGGGAGCAGATAAAGCAACAGAGCTGAATCTGGGCAAGGGCTCTACAGAGTTCTCTGTAAAATTTCTGCAACTTTTCTGCACATGGGATTATTGGTTAAAAAGGAAAAATTACTTAATGTCGTTGAGCTGTACATTTTTAAGTGGTTGCATGGGTAAATTTTGTTTTGTGTACCTTACAATTTTAAAAAGTTTTAAAAAACAAAAGATAAGAACCATCCAGAAGATAAGAAATAGCAAGCGTTGGTGAGGATGTGCAGAAAGGTAACCCTCCTACACTGTTGGTGGGAATGTAAATTGGTGCAGCCACTGGGGAAAGCAGTGTGGAGGTTTCTCAAAAAACTAAAAATAGAAATACCATATGACCCAGTAATCCCTCTTTTAGGAATTTACCCAAAGAAAACAAAATCCCTGATTCAAAAAGATATATGCACCCCTATGTTTATCACTCCATTATTTACAATAGCTAAGATATGGAAGCAACCTAAGTGTCCATCAATAGATGAATGAATAAAGATGTGGTACATATACACAATGGAATATTATTCAGCCATAAAAAATCCTCCAAAATTTGCAACAGTGTGGATGGACCTAGAGGGTGTTATGCTCAGTGAAAGACAGAAGAAGACAAATACTGTATGATTTCACTTATTTGTGGAATCTAAAAACAAAACAAAATGAACAAAACAGCAGTTTTGACATTGAGTCATAGACACTGAGATGTAACCAGTGGTTACCATGGGGAAGGGGTTGGGATGGTGGGGAAGGGTGAGGGGGACAAAGGGGCACAAATATTCTCAATCATAATATAAATTGGCCACGGGGATGGTAGGACAGCATGGAGAATATAACCAATGATTCTATAACACTTTCCTATGTTGACAGAATAGTAACCACACTAGAGGGGGTGAGGATTTAATAATATGGGTAACTGTTGAACCACTGTGTTGTATGCTTGAAGCCAATATAAGATTATATAGCAACGATACTTCAATTAAAAAAAAAAGACAAGAACATCAAAAGAGAAGTCTGTTGAGGGTGACATAGAGCTTTGTCCGCCCGTAGGACCTCCACACCCATGTCCCGTGCTCCCCTCCCCAGGACTCCCAGTCTTAACAATAATAACAGCTGCTATGTTCCTAGCACTTACTCTGTACCAGGTATTCTTTCTGGGCTTTCCAACTCTTAACTCACTTACTTTGTACAACTT